AAAATGAGAATGACACAAATGTCTGCCTCACAGAGTGGTCATGAAGGGTAAATGGAACATAAAAACATATGAAGTATTCTGGAAAGGCAGAATCAGGCCCCTGACGTTGATCCTTTCTTCAAATGCCCCAAAGCCTGGGTCTGGAGCCAGGCTGCCTAGATTCAGATCCCGGCTCCACGTTCCAGCTGTGTGACGCTGGACAAACTACTTCATTACCCTGGGCCTGCGTTTCCTCTTACGTAAAATGGACACAACGGTAGTCCCTCCCTCATAAAGCTGCCGCGAGGCTTGAGAGAGCAAATAATGTTCACTTAAAACCATGTCAGGGACATATTACGCACCATGGTTAAGTGTTAAAATTTTTCCTTTTTTTTTTTTAAACAATTTTTTTTAGGATTTTATTTATTTATTTGAGACAGAGAGATACAGAGAGAGAGAGAGCTACAGAGAGAGAGAGCATGAGCAGGGGGAGAAGCAGAGACAGAGGGAGAAACGGGCTCCCCACTGAGCAGGGAGCCCGATGTGGGGCTCGATCCCAGGACGCTGGGATCATGACCTGAGCTGAAGGCAGACACTTAACCATCTGAGCCACCCAGGCGCCCCTAAAATTTTCCTTTCCATTAGCCCTGGTATTGCCAAGTCCAAACCAGAGTTCATGGCCAGTCCAGGAAGAGACACCCTTGCTGGTCGATCACAGGGAATCTGCTCTGGGTCAAGCAGCTTACCCTAAATTGCAAGTTGAAATCTTAAAAGGTTGCTTTAGTTCCTTGTCGGAATCAGGGATTCAGACTGTATCCCGTGAATCTGCCACAAAAACCCTCAGCCAAAACTCACAGGGTTTCTTCCTTCTCACCCAGTGAAAATAACCAAAACTCAGAGGAGGAGCCACATTAGGAGCAGCCACAAGCATCTGTTGCCCTGAGCCAGCAAGGGTCAGACACTCTCCACATGGCCCGGCGGACCCCCTGGCGGAGGTGAAGACCCACACCGAGTCACCTGCTCCCTCCCCCCGCCACACTCTGGCCCGAGATGATGCCCCGCAGGCCTGTCCAGCAGACACTGAGAGGGCCTGCACTGCACACAGGACAAAGGGTGAGCATGGCCACCCCTACTTCTGAGGCAGGATCCAGAGCCTCCTCTCTCCTGCTCGTGGGAGATTGAGACTCATCTCCCAGTAACACCTGGGAGTAAAGACACCTGGGACTGCGGGAACACATCAAAGACTTCAGAAGCAAGGCTGACTTGAGAGATCCAACAGTGGACCAAGCACAATAAGACACCACTTCACACTCATGAGGGTAGCTATTTTTT